AAATAGCGCTCTATACCCATGAGAATAGCTCAGGTGAAAACTTGCTGTCCATGTCAAGTGCCGTGAAGCTGTGGAGGAGCTGGAATTCTCATACGCTGCCATAGGGAATATGAAGTGGTGTGGCCACTCTGGAAACACAATACGCCAGTTTCTTAAACTGGTGGTCTTATTTACGAATACTAAAACCTGCAAACTACCAGATGTTCTTCAGTGGGCAAATGGGTAAACAAACTGCGGTGCACGCGCGCCATGGCGTGCTGCTCAGCAACGGGAAAGAATGAACTATCATCAGCACACACACAGCATGGCCGAATCTCAAGGCATCATGTGAGAGAAAGAAGTCAGATCGAAAGACAGTACACACTGCACGGTCCCATATGTGAAATTCTAGTCGATGGAAACTGACATGCAGTGACTGCACGTCAGCGCCCAGTGCTGGTAAGTGGTGGTTCGGAGACAGGCAGGAGGCAGGGAGGACGAGGAGACCTGGGGGTGACATACATGTTCATGAACTTGACGGTGGTGACGATTTCACCGGGATATACATATGTCCTAATTTGTTAAATCATACACTTTAAATATGTGCAGTTTATTGCATATCAATAACTCCTCAAGAAAGCTGTTAAACAGATAAAACTCAACATCATGTCTAGTGTTTGAAGTAGAAGTTTGCTCAGTTTGTTTTCCATCGCAGCTTAGAGTGCTTCTAACAGTTCCTGAACCTGAATGCAAAGTGCTTTGTTGACTTGTGACAGTGTGTAGTCATATACTGTCTAATAGGCCGGCTGATTCATAAACAGTAATTTAGGCTCTTCTGCTAAACTACAAAATCCTCACGGTCGGCCTTCACATCTTACACATTTTTGATATCCTCACGGTGTACGGCACAGTGACAGACACAGAAACAAGTCTCATGTATATCTTTTGATTAACCAAGTGTCTTTCATACTCCTTGACAAATTTTGTGGCGGGGCGGGGGGACTCAAGAGAGAAAATGAAGAATGATTTTTCTCAATTTTAATGCTTTTTCTTATCTGAACTATAACATAGAAAACATAGGGAGGAAATTAAAGCACAAACCAACCCCAAGGCCAACAGTCTCCTTTGTGCTACAGAAATCTGAGGTACAAATGCAGATTTATCCCAGGGTTAAAGCAGAGAGCTGTGGGTTGAAGGCCGATGAAGAGTCCAAGGTAAACGGATTGCCAAACTGCAGTTCAGTTTCACGTTATTCCTTTGTCTTCTTCATTTTGACCAACGACGTGGTACTGACCAGACAAAGAAGGCAGAACTCAAGGAGGGTTTGATAAATCACGATGTCCTGTAACTAAACACCCTCAGTGAGCAGGTTGTTTCAGTTGTGATTATAATCACATTTTCTCCCACGCTTCTCTGAAAGAGTGGCAGTAGGGTCTCTGCTTGCTGAACTTCTTAGCGAAAGTGGGGGGAAATGGAAATAGAACTATAGGAACCTAACAGAACTCCCTCTCAGGAGAAACAAAACGGCCGACATCATTATGGTGGTGGATGAAGTTTTGGTTTCTGCCGCAGAGAGTCTCCGCTGGTCATAGAAAGGCGTCTGTTGTAGGAAATGATATTGCTCGGTCTCTGATTTTTGTAGCATATGCGGGTGTAGGTGACGACAAAGAACATCCAGAAACAGTGCATGAGTACACGGGTCACCAAGCCAAACCAGCGCATGGCTCTGACCTCTACGATGATTCTGTCGTCATTGTTGGTGATGATTTCTATTACGATGTTTGCAACTTCGTAGAAAAAGACCCAGACGATGTAGGTCATCAGACCCTTGTAGATCTGGGTGTACACCGAGTACAGGAGGAAGCAGCTGATCATGATGGTGATGAGAGACAGAAGAAGGACGATGTTCCAACTCCAGCAGCTGATATAGTCATTTATCACGCCACTTGTACTCTTGTTCCACAGTTTGACATCAGTGCAATTGCCATGGCCTAGGTACTTCTGTTCAAAGACGAGGTACATACTTGTGACCATGATGGTGAAGGCCCCTGACAACACCGAGCCAGTTTTGGCAGTCATCCCACACCAGTGCTGCTGTTTCATGCTGAGACCTCCTGCGAAGACAAACAACATGAGAGGGACTTCCAGAACCTGCCAACGTGGCAACTACCAGGCTTTCTGCCTCCCAGCTCACGTCCACCTTAGAGAAACGATAGACAGAAATATGGAAACCAGGAAATAAAAGCCTTGGGAAGATGGAAGACTGTTTTAAATGGATTGGGAGTGGGGAGGAGGGAGGATTTTTAGTCTGGAGCTGGCACTAAAAAGATAAATTAGAGCAGTGCTTCTCAACCCTGGCTTCACATTAGAATCACCAAAAAGCCCCACCCCAGACCAATCAGAGCATTCTCTGGAAGGCACCCAGGCTGCAGTATTTTTCAAAACCTCCTAGTAGTTTTCATAAGTAGCCAGTGTTGGAAAACACTGAGTTATAAGCCGAGCACCTATAAAAAATAAGTTTAAAAAATAATAAAAGAGGCCGGGCATGGTGGCTCACACCTGTAATCCTAGCACTCTGGGAGGGCAAAGCGGGAGGATCCCTTGAGCTCAGGAGTTTGAGACCAGCCTGAGCAAGAGCGAGATTCCATCTCTACTAAAAACAGAAAATATTAGCTGGGCGCAGTGGCGTGCACCTGTAGTCCCAGCTGCTCAGGAGGCTGAGGTGGTTGAAATTATGTTCTTATCCCTCCCAGCATTGTCTCGAGCAACAATTGCTGCCCCTGAGGGTGAAAATTGTCTGTACTAGTTCAGATCTCAGTGCAGGTGTCTCAGGAGAATAACCGAGGCAGCACAAGGCCCTGCTGGGATAAGGAGCTGATAAAAGCAGGTGGACCCCAACTGGCCTTGGGCAATCACTCCTCCACTATATATCAGAACTTATAGATTACAGTGAAAGATGTGCTTTAAGGAAAAGTTAGAGCCTTAGAATAAACTAGCCTTATAATAGAAAATAAAAAGCAATAAGGAGCTAAGTGTTCAAGAAATTAGTGTGTGTAGGGGGAGAAACGAGAACAATGAAAAAGCAGGAGGAAGAAAATACATAGAAGAGCAGACATCAATGAAACAGGAAATACAGTAGCGGGAATTCTGATTGGTTAGGTTATTTGAGCCAACTCACTGCTAAAAATGATGAAACATGCTGGATAAAGTAATTTTTAAATGTTCTTAAGGCCGGGCGCGGTGGCTCACGCCTGTAATCCTAGCACTCTGGGAGGCCGAGGC